TTGTTTTCCCACAGTGATGGTGTTTTGTTTCCTTGGCCTGTCAGGGCCAGGTGTGTTTGTGTGGGGACTGTTGAGTGACAGTCACAAGATTTAGTGCAGTTGTGTGCAGGGTTGAGTGTTTGGCAGGTTCAGTTTTAGGCGTATGGAATACTATAGTATAATAAAATAATTAATTAGCCTTCTGATAAGATGGAGTCCTCCTCATCATTTCCTCCATCGTTGGGGCCTTCCAGCACAGCAATACTGGGTAAGAACTGCAAGAAATGCTGGGTGATGATTTTGTGCTCGGTTGGGTGATACAAAACCAAGCAAGGAATATTTTGCCTGGGTGTGATTGAGCCCCCCCCCAACACAGCCCCTAAACATGTGAAGACCTTTGCTTAGTTCAGCTTTGTGACTCTCAGCAGAGAAAAAAGCTGTATCTGTGTGAGTGCCGGGCTCTGTGTGCTCAAAGCCACCCACCCTGGGGACACTGTGGTCACAGCCCTTTCCCTGACACACAGGCAGACGGGGCAAGGAGGTTTGCAAGGCAGCAGAAGAACTCCTGCTCTGTGAGCACTGAGCCCTGGATCATCTGTCCCTTTGTCTCCCTTCACCCCAGCTGACATCTGCTCTTACCCACATGTGACAAAAGCACTGCCTGGGTGCTGGGGAGAAGGAGAGCCTTCAAAGGCAGCAGGGGCTGCCTGGAGTCCCTGATGGTTCCTGTGCTGGAGCAGCTCTGGAAAAACACAGCTCAAGGAGAAGCCTGTGCCCTGCCAGGATCCTGCAGCTCAGGGCAATTAGGGGACAGATGTGCCATGAGTGGTGACAGCAGCCACCAGCTGCTACAGAGCCCCAGGTGCTGGGGGGACAAACCCACCTGGATCTGTGTGAGCCCCTCAGAAGAGTGGGAGGGCAAAACCCCAGTGGGAGACCAAAATAGGGGAGAAAAAAATCAAATTACAGTGGCTAAAGCCCTGTATTCAATGGCAAAGAGCTCAGGTAAGACAGGAAAAGTTTACTGGAATGTGTTTTTATCCATCAAGGACAGTATTTCAGAACAGGGGTGTCAAATACAACAGGCTCTCTGTGGGGCTGTGGTTATATCATGCTTTTGATGGTAATTTCTCCAGGGCCAAGAAAAGAGATTAGTACACAAATCACTTTCAGTTTTATTCCATTTTGACATTTCAGGGTCTCCAGCAACTTGGCATCACTCTGCGAAGCCAGAAATATTTGTGTGTTAAGAGTGTGTTTTGAATTACAAATATTTCAACATTCACACCACAGAATTTAGGGGACCAGGAACATTCCTGGGCACAATTGCCAAGCAGAGTTTTGGTGCAGGGCAGCCTCCTGTAGGTGCATGTTGTGCCATAAACATGACATCTCTGGAGTGAGAAAGGCAAAGAGAAGAAATCTCCTTTCCAAAAGGAAAGAAATCTCCTTTCCAAAAGGAATCTCCTTTCCAAATCTCCTCGGAAAGCAGCAGTGGTGAGCTGCTGCAGCTCGGGGGTGGGTTGGGAAGGAGTCTATAGGTGCTGACCTACATTTAAGTGAGGAGAGTGAGGGGGAGCTCAGCTGGCCCTTGGGATGACACAAGGGCATTTTCCCTCCAAGCCAGGTCTGTCACCATCCTGGTGTATGAATTCACTCCCGGTGAAAGGTGCCAGACTGACATTCAAAATAAGAGAGAAGAAAAAAAAAAAAGCCTTGTTCTTAATAATTCTTTCTCTTCTTTGTGCTGATGAAGTACAATGGGACATTTAAATCTGATTTTTATAACATTTTGCATTGCTATAGATCACGGTCTGACCTGGAGAAGACACTTTGTTCTGACTACAATGATCTGATATTTCATATTTTAGTTTTTTTTTTTTTTTGTCTTCCCCGTAGTGTTTCTGTTGCATTCTGGCACAATATGGGCTCCCTCCAGTGGTCAAGGGGCTCCGGGCTCCCGGTGTCGTTTGCCCAAGGGCTGGCACAGGGTGGCATTGAGGCTGGCATCACAAATGCCAACGGGAATCATGCTGGGATTGTGATTCTTTGTCCCCAAATCCCCCCTGTGGATGCCAGGCAGCAGAACCACCCCCTGCCCTGTAACCCCTGCTCCATTCACATTTCAGATTTCAGTGGAACAGCCCGAGAAAATAAAGATTGAGGCTCTGGATTTCCTTGCAGTTCCCAAAACGTTCGCTGCAGGAGGGGGAGAGGAAACAGGAGAGGAGAGAGAACCGGAGAAGATCTGCTGGAAGACCCAGACACAACAATTTTTAGCAAAAAAAAAAAGACTTTTTTTTTTTTTGGCATTCCACTCTTCCCGTGGTATTTTGAGATCAGACCCTGACTTTCTCCTGGCAGAAACAGTTAATGTGGTTATTGTGGGGGACAAGTCAAGCGCTGCCACTCTGAAATGTGACATTTCCATGTGCTCAGCCAGGGTTGCATTTCAAACACGGGGATTATTTTTGGAGTCCCCGTTTAGGACGGGGATCCCCTCCGATGGCCCTGAGCCCAGCAGGGCTGTGCGGGGAGGTGCCCTGGAGGGCAGGGCCGTGTCCCTGGGTACCCCAGAGTGTCCCCAGGTGTGTCCCTGCAGTGTGTGCTCACACCTGCCACAAACAGGGGGGCTCTTGGGGTGCAGCAGGGATGTGTGTGATCCCCCTTTCCACCCCTGGACCGGCCCCACAGAGCCCCAGCCCGCGGGAGGGTGTGAGGAGGGGTGAAGGCACCGACCCCCATTTGCAGGGGGTGGAGGTGAAGCCCCACTGCACCCCTTTACACACCTTTGGGGGTTCAGATCTCCTGCCACCCCCGTTCCCAGGGGTTGGGAGGAAGGGATGAACGCACTTAACTCTGTTTTGCGGTTTGTGGGTGTGAATGCACCGACCTCCATTTGCAGGGGGTGGGGGGAGCCCTCTGCACCCCTTTATACACTTTTGGGGTCTTCAGCTCTCCTGCACCCCCGTTCCCAGGGGTTGTGAGGAAGGAGTGAACACACCTAATGCCGTTTGCCGGTGTGTGTGTGAAAGCACCGACCCCCTTTTGCATGCGGGTGGCGGTGAAGCCCCTCTGTGTCTTTTGGAGGGGGGGCACAGCTCTTCCGCCCCACCACCTCTCTGTGGGGGCGTACGACGGAGGAGTGAATGCTCCGACACCCATATGCAGGGGTGTGTGTGTGTGTGCATGTTTTGCACCCCTTTCGCACCCCTTCTGGAGGGACACAACCCCTTTGGGGGGGGACACTTTTCTGTCGCCCTCTCTCTCCCCTCACGCACGGGGTGGAGGGGGGTGTGCGAGGGAGGGGTGAATTGCCGTTCGCCGCCGTTGTCACGGGGGTGGTGTGTGTGTGGGGGTGTGTGT